AAACCTAATGATACCGTACACCACAGTCTGTTGAAACCTAATGATACCGTACACCACAGTCTGTTGAAACCTAATGATACCGTACACCACAGTCTATTGAAACCTAATGATACCGTACACCACAGTCTATTGAAACCTAATGATACCGTACACCACAGTCTATTGAAACCTAATGATACCGTATACCACAGTCTATTGAAACCTAATGATCCTGTATACCACAGTCTATTGAAACCTAATGATCCTGTATACCACAGTCTATTGAAACCTAATGATCCTGTATACCATACTTTTTCAATATTCTTAACAGATGAAAACTTGAACATTTTTCTAAAATATATATAAACATTTACTATTAAAATGTCTGAGAAAAAAAAAAGTTAAGTTTTTAAAAATATGAAAAAAATACATCTAGTATTACCAGATTAAATGGCATCACCAAATACAATGTTATTTTTAATTCCTTTGTACTTTTTTAATGTATTCCTCTTTAGCAACTTATATAAAAACATATATATTGTTTTTTTATGGGACGTTTCCTTTCTATAGGTTATTTATTTTTGTACATTTAATAACAATTTATATATATAACATTCGAAAACCATGCTTAAAGTTGAAAACACAGACCCACTGCTAAAATCAGCAATGTGATTTTTTTTTAATTTGCAAGGTCAAATATAATTCAATTTACAAGCAAAAACTAATCATAACTGCTATACTTGATGTAGTTTTTAAATTGTAAAAATAGTTGAATCAATAAGCAAAAAATAATCGCAAAGACTACACCTACTTCAAACCCAAAGATATCCAATATGGCAATAGATGTTTGCTTCTTCTCTTTATAGACAATCTGGTTGACCCTCTGTACAAGCCATGAAAACAGGGTCGAGTACAAAGCTTTAGCCACAGCGTCCCTGGAAATACATGAATTACTCCTACAATACCTTCATTTCTATGTGCTAAGTTTAAACAAGGAAAATAACAACAAAGTTACCCAAATAATACAATACACTAAACTTTAATTAGTTCAATTCATCCATCAACTATACTACACGTTAACCCTAACTTACCTGGCAGTAGACCCATCTCCAACAGTACATTAATCCTAACTTACCTGGCAGTACAACCATCACCAACACTATGTTAGCCCTAACTTACCTGGCAGTAGACCCATCACCAACACTATGTTAGCCCTAACTTACCTGGCAGTAGACCCATCACCAACAG